TGTTCTGCCGAGGAGTAGCCGCCCGACGAGGCCATCTTCTCTGCCCTGGGCCAGGCGTCGGAGACGGGGCAGTCGCTCGCTCGGAGCAGGGCTAACAAATATTGGAAGGAGTGGCCGTTGACAAAAGATCGAGAAGGGCGGGGGGGGGGGGGGGCGCTCGCAGGGCCAGGGGGCCCGTGGCGGGCTGGAAGGCGCCCACCGCCGTCTCTTCGGCCGGCATTTTTTTTTGTTTTTCCAAACCCCTAGGCCTCTTCGAAAATTCAGGCGCCCGTCTTCGCGAAGATTCGCGAAGCCAAATCCCGCCCCTCCGAGAGGCCCCCTGGGCCCGCCATCGAGCCCCTTCCGCCCTTAGATGTGAGTTTCCTGAGAGAGGTCTTCAATAATCATTCTACGCGCGCGGCGCGCGCGATAAGTGGATTCCAGATGCGACATTACTCGTGGATGACGAATGACTGCCTGCAGGTGATCCCCGTCACGATTTGCAGAATGGAATCGAGCCGACTCAGTTGCAGCTCGGTCAGGTCATTCTCTCGGTGAAACCGCATGGCGGCTGGAGACCGATTGGCCGGCTCTGTTCGTCGCGCCGCCTGCGAGGTCGCTGCCGCAGGACGTTTGCCCAGACATGGGATCGGAGCGGCGCTTCCCGAGGCCGCGCTTCGCAATGCAGTCTTTCGCTTTGGCTGCGGGTGCGGTTTGCGCCAAATGGGTAAATCGGAAACCGCCCACTCCAAAGGGGCTCTGCTCGGGGACCTTACTGCGGGGCGCGGCCCAGTTCTATGAAGGTATCTCTCTGGACAGGCTCGAAGCGCATTTCCGCGGATTCCACTTTCCGCCCTCGCCATTCAAGCTTTCTCTGTCGGCCTTCCGCAGTGCCAGGTTCATGAGCATGGCCAACTTGGTCGATGGCCGATTTGATTCCTGTAGGAGGGGGGGGGGGGGGGCATCGCGGGCGGCTGTTTCGCCGCGTCGCGCGTCGAGGTTTACTGCGCCGAGGGTTTGGGCAATGTCGCGCTTCTCCCAACAGCCAACTCGACCAGTATATTTGCGTCAGCGGCGTCTCGAGCACTGGCACGGTGGCCCAGGTAGTTGCGACTTTAGAGGAGACCTCCGCCAGCTTGCATCGAGCGACCGTGGCCGAGATGGGCTGCGAGATCTCTTGCGACACGGCGCCTTTCGTCGCGCCCAGCAGGGGCGCGAAGAAGCAGGTGCTGGAGTTCTTGGGGCCGCTGGCAGGGGGGGGGGGGGGCTACCGACAGCTCGGTCAACTTAGGATTTGACGACGCCGCTGGAAAGCCCAGGAACATTGCCAGACGAGGTCAACAGTTTCGGGTTTGAGTGGCCCATTCAAAGCGACTCCCAAGAAATTGGTCAGGCTCTCTTGCAGCTTAAGCAAGTTTGGCAACGCAGCGTGGGCCTCGGGGGGCCCTCCCTGGGGTTTTGCACGGAGCGAAGGCGCATGGCATCTCGGATTCTAAGCTCGGGACGATTGGGAGAGAGGCTGGGGATGGGTCATGCGTCCTGGAGCCTCGGGCCGTTCCTTAACCTCCATTCTTGTCCTTAACGATGGCCCTACGTGGGTTGTGGCCGTGGCCCCCATCGATGGGTGTAGCAAAGAAGTATGGGCAGCCCGTGCCCCCCCCCCCCCCACTCTCAGGCAAGCTTGGGAGTCGGCCTCTCAGAGGCCCATCCCCACATGGCGGCAGGCGAGGGAGTCGCTGACAGCCATGAGGCGCTCGCTCAGCAGGATCGGATGGACGATGCCGAACCTCGCCGCTCTCGAGTCGGGCTTCGGCGGAGAAATGCAGCTGGCGACGGCCCCCCCCCCCCCCCCCCCCCCGCGTTCTTCAAACTTTGTCTTCGAGCTGCAGTTCTTCGGCGCTAGAACGCGAGCCGGGTGCCGAGCCAGGGCTGACGCTCGATCGATTGTTTTATGATGTCGTTCGGGATCCACTCAGATCGAAGGTGGCCGGCCAAGGCTACAGGCCCCATGCGCAGCCTCACGCGCGGCGCGCTTTGGGCGCACAGTCGAGCTGTGAAGGCTGGCTATACGTTGGCTGATAATCGTTGCGCGATGCGCGGGCAGGAAGGTGACGCGCCTTTCCACCGTCTGTGGGGGCGTCCGTGCTTCGATGCTGCCCGAGCCGATCTGATCGATCAAGGCGCATGTGATGCGACCGCCGCCGCGGGCCCGACCGACCCCCTCACTGCCGCGCTGTTTTGCCGAGGCTTGCTCTCGTCTCCTGGAGATGTTTTTTGGTTTCCCCGAGGCCCCCGACCGAAAACGCCAGCTTTCAGGCCGCCATAGCCCGGCATGTGCCACCCTCCCGACGACGGCGTCTTCTGCGGGTCAATTTCTTCTGATGGGCGTTGTTTCAGGCGCCTGGCTTTTGAATCCCCCAGGGCGGGTCATGGCCCGGGCCTCGTCGACCTGGTGGCGCGGAAGTGCGCGCGATGCATGCCCTTGTTTTGCCCCGTTTCAGCAGACGCCTCAGCGTGGGGAGTTTACTGCGTTGGCCAGAGTTGGCATTGAAGTGACCAGCGATCCCTTGATTTACAGTGATTGTAAAAACGTTGTGGGCCTAGCCCAAACCCAGAGAACATTGCCATACTCTTCTAAGCGTCCTTATGCTGGTCTCATGATGCTACGCAATCTAGGCGCCCCACAGTCTCTGGCGCGCTCAAGGTGAAAGCCTGCCCAAACCCCAACGAGGTAGGCATCGCCCTAGACGAAAAGTGGCGCAGGAGTGGCAACCGGGCTGCGGGTTCAGCGGCCAAGGTAGGAGGCAGCTTGCATCCCGCGGCGATGTTGAGCAGGAGGCGCTGTCTGTTTGCACCCGCGCGCCCAAGGCGGTTCGTAAGCTCGCCGGGAACATCCTCCATCACTGCCCGCGTCTGGACCCTCAGAGCGCCCGCGGGTCGCCCCTGAAAAAAGCCCAGCGAGGCCACGGAAGCCTTCCTTGGAAAAAAATCATCCTTGCAAGTGAGCATGTGTCCGTGCTGCAGGCGTCACAGAAATACATATGCTGCCATTGCCACAGCATTGTTTACCATCAAGATATCCTGGAGGCGTGCGCCTCGGAGTGCTGCGCTCATGCCTCGGGAGTTTCAGATGATGCTTCGCCAGCAGACGATGACCGATGACATATCCAATGCGGTCGAAGGTGAGGTTTCGGTGGGGGGGGGGGTCGATCCCTCGAGCTTCTCACGCGTTCAAGTTCTGGGCCGCGGTTGTCGTTATAGGTTTGTTGTTCTTGTAAACGCACCGCTACGGTGAACCCAGGGAGTATAACGGAATAGCGCGGACCTTCCAGCAAGAAAGGTGCGGATCACCTGGCCCGCATCGACAAACGCATTGTCCCAGGATATGGCGGGCCCTCGGCGGCGGCGCTGGACGCGCGGGAGTCAAGGGTCCGCCGACAGCGCGCCACCAGCCATTCCACGCCCAATGTTTTGCGGCCAAACGGCGGCCCGAAATATTCGAGCCCCCCCGGCGCGGCCGAGCCAGGGGCCGTCGCTCCGGCGGCGCCTTTCGAAGTTCAGTCCAGAGCGTCGGCCGCCCACCTCCCTGAAGGGGATGAGGGGCAGCGGCTGCCACCGCCGAGTGCCCTGGCAGACTTTGGAGACTCAAATTGAGTCCACAGGCTCGCGGCCGAACCTCATTTGTAGCGAACTGGCTGCAAGCACGCTGCTTGGTTGGCGTGAGCCCAGCAGTGCACCCATGGCGGGAGTCAACACGAGACCCTGTTGCCATTCCATCCTCCCCCTCTCTTTCTCCCCCATCCACCGGGGGGCGCGCTACATTCGCCCCGCCGCTTTCGCTTCCACGCGGGCGGCTGCCGCCACCACCACCACCGTCGTCGTCGTCGTCGTTGGCGTCGGCGTCGGCGTCGGCGTCGTCGTCGTGGTCGTCTTCGTCGTCGTTCGCGTTGCTGCGTTCGTTTGCCCGTCGTCGTCGGGACGTCTGTCGTCCTCGCCGTCGTCGTTCGTTTTCGTCTTCGTCGTCGTCGGTGGTTTGTTTCTTTTTCGGGACCTCGTGCATCTTCGCGGGCATGCGCGAGGCCAACCTAGAATCCTAGAACCCCTCCTCCTTCGTTTCTCCCTCTGTGAACTGGCCCTCCTGGCCTCGTGGCCTCCGCTGTACCGTTTTTTCCATGTTCGGGGCAGCCCCGCTGCCTGGGCGAGGAGGAGGAGGAGGAAGAGCAGGAGGAGGAGGAGGAGGAGGAGGAGGAGGAGGAGGAGGAGGAGGAGGAGGAGGAGGAGGAGGAGGAGGAGGAGGGGGGGAGGAGGAGGAGAGGGGGGAGGGAGGGAGCGAGGGAGGGAGGGAAGGAGGAGGGAGGGAGGCGAGGGCGGGCACGAAGACGAGGAGGAGGCGGAGCAGGAGGGGGACGAAGAGGACGACGAGGGAGGACGATGGCGGACAAGAATGAGGAGAGAGGGGGGGGCGGAGCAGGAAGAGGACGGCGTGGACGGCGACGAGAGGACAGAAGAGGAGGAGGAGGGAAAGGTTGAGGGAGGAGGAGGAGGAGGAGGAGGAGGAGGAGGAGGACGCGGACGAAGGAGGAGGGGAGGGAGGGAGAGGAGGGAGGAGCAGGAATTGGACCCTTGGAGGCGGAGGCGGAAGGGAACAGCGCTCGGGAGGCACAGGAGGCCGAGCACAAGGCGGAGGGGGGAGACCTCTCGATCCTCGGCCCCCGCGACCCCCGCGCGGACCTATCCAGGGGCGCATTGCGACCAGAGTTCGGGGGTGGATCCAGACTCTGCGACCAGGACGCCCCCGGAGGCCCGAACAAGAGCAGGACAAGCTCCCAGATCCTCGGTCGATCCTCCCCGATCCTCCCCGATCCTCCTCGATCCACGCCGATCTTCCTCGATCCTCCTCCACGATCCTCGCACGATCTTTCCCCTCGTCGTCACCGCCGCCGCCGTCGCCGTGGCCGTCGCCGCTGCCGCCGCCGCCGCCGTGGCCGTTCACCGCCGCCCCCGCGCGCGGAGCGCCCCAGGCGCTGGCTATCGGCCACGGCGGCGACGAGCCGCAGCGGCCGCGGCCACAGGCGGGCGTCGCCAGGGCGCCGCCGGGCTCCGCCGCCGCCAGGGCGCAGGCCGCCCCCGCCAGGGCTGCGGCGGCCATAGGCGCGCGGGAGCAGAAGGCGATCCCGCACCGACGACGACGACGACGACGACGACGAAGACGACGAAGACGACGGCACCGACGACAGCGGTTGCGCCTGCGACGGCGGCGGCGGCGGCGACGGCGACGGCGACGGCGACGGCAACGGCGTCTTCGACGGCGACGGCGACGGCGACGGCAACAGCGACGGCAACAGCGACGGCGACGGCGACGGCGACGGTGACGACGACGTCGATGTCGACATCGACGTCGAGGTTCGAGGTTCGAGGTTTTCGGGCGTTTTCGGGCGCTTGCGTCGGTTCTTAGCGGTCTTCCGGCCTCGGGGTGCTCTCCTGCGGTTGCGCTTCGCCGAGGGTGTTCGGGGGTGCCCGGATTGTCCCGAACGGTTGCCGGGAAGCCGAGTTATGAACCGAAAACCATGGGGCAACGTTAGGGAGGGATAGGCTCAGGAAGGAGGGTCGAAGTGAAGAGGTCGTCGGGGCCGCCACGTGGGAGTGCAGGATGCAAATCAGATTTGCCTGGTCGAGCGAGTCAGCGGGGGGTCGGAGTAGACGGGGTCGGAGGATCGCGCCGCATCGCCCATGCACCGACGATGCGGCTCGATGTGGAGCCAGAATTTCTCCACGCCGAAGGCGCCGATGCATCGCCGATGCATTGTCGATGCGGCGCGATCCTCCGACCCTATCTGCTCGGGTTCCATCTAAGAGGCCTCAAAATTCCCACCCTCCTCCCACAACGTGGTAATCAAGTGTGGCACAATCTGGGATCGGGATTGAAACGCGGTCCCCACCCAGCGAGCGGAGGGCGCTCGAGAGCGCGGTCCCGCCTGCGACGGCATGGGGTCGGAGGGTCGTGCCGCGTCGCCGATGCATTTGCGACGCGGCGCGATCTGGAGCCTGGGTTTCTCATCGCTCCGAATCGCGTGTCGCTAGAAGTGCCCTTGGCCCAATGTGCCCCGAGGATTTCCAAGGAGGCTCCCACGGCCTCCAGAGCACCCCTCACGAGGCCCACAGGTCCCCAGGGGCTCCCAAATTGAGCGAGGAGCTGGGGGGGGCACCTTGGGCCAGGGGCACCTTTAGCAACCTCCGGCAGAAGGCGCCAGCGCACCGCTGATGCATTGCCGATGCGGCCGGATGTTCCTCGACCCCATCTGCTCCGACTCCATCTGGACGGACTCCAGCGCGGAGGTAGGGGGAATAGGGTGGTAAACGTTGTGGGCGTTACAAGGCGTTCCAAATGCTTGATTGGCATAGCATGGAATAGCATGGCATAGCATGGCATAGCATGGAATAGCACAGCATAGCATGGCAAAGCGAGAAGAGTCTAGGCTTTTTCGGATTTTCCTCCGTCCTTATTTCCTTTAGAATTGTTTCCTTCCGAGCCCGAACATAAAAAACAAAACAACACAAAAAAAGAAAACCCGCCAAAAACCGAACATCCGTAAAACAAAATAAAGAAACCATTTGTTCTTTAAGAAAATTCAGAAAACAATCCAACCGAAACCTTGGTTTTGATTTTTTATGATTTTGTCATGGAAAACCACTGGTTTCTTTAATTCTTTACGGATTTTCGGGTTTTCTGGTTTTCCGTGTTTTTCGGATTGTCTTCCGCCTTTCTTTCCCTTTGAATGGTTTCTTTCCGAACCCGAAATAAAACAAAAAACGACAATCCAGAAACAAAAACAGAAACTCAGTAAACAATCAAAGAAACATTTTTAAATTGATTTCTGAACAAAAAAACAGAAACATTCAACCGAAACCTTGGTTTTGATTTATTGTTGCTGATTTGTTGTTGGAAAATCATGTTTTTTTTACGGATTTTCTGTTTGTTCGGGTTTTCCATTTTTTCTTCAGATTTTCCTCCGCCCGTCAAGTGCAAACCAGGGGGAGGGCTCGTGCCTTTCAAATTCGTGTTCTTGAAGGGGGAAATGCTGTCAAACATTTCAAAAACATGTTTTTTTTGAGGTTCTGGGGATGGACGAGGGGGATCATCATCACACATATCTATATATACGCCTGGGTTTAAGTTTTTCGTGTCGTGTTGCAGAACAGAGACGTTGCCAGGACGTCGCTAATGAACATGTGCGCTCGCGTTCGCCACGCCGCAGGCACACCGCGGGCACACCGCTAGCACACTGGCACAAAATCCCACCGACATGCATGAAGACGCGCAGCCACTTCTTCAATTTGTGCGAAACGTCTGCATGTTTCGGGTGTGCTCGCGGGGCTTGCTTTTGAGGCTGACGCGGAGGAATCATCCTCTGTTCCTTTTAACGAAAAGAACAATGTTTTCCTTCCAAGCCAGTCTGCAAAACATGTCCAGCCAGCACATCGAAAAACATGCAGACGTACCACACAAATAACGTAAGTGCTTCCATGTGTTTATGCGTGTTGGTGCGTGTTTGTGCCCAGTGTGGTGGTGGTGTGCCCGCAGTGTGCCTGCGGTGCGGCTTCCGCAAACGAGGGAACTGTTCATTCTTTCGTAAGGAAGGTCGCGCATTTTCGGTGTCCTTGCGGGGCAGACGGGGCCCAAGGACCACCACAAAAAAGGTGCAGTGCTTTTTGTGCTGCGTCGTTTCGGGCCGGGGCGCTTCCACGTTGGATAACGGAGTGCGCGGGTTTGTGCGAACGTTCCTCATTTTTGTGGCTTCGATCGAATCTTGCTGACGGCGCCCCGTCGCTGGGTGTACTGTGGCCGAATGTTCCTTTTTCCTTTAACAGGAAAGACGGCATGATACACAGTTTTGTTTTCTAGTCGACATTCGGTTTTCTACGCATCGGGGGGTCGCCCTTCAACGCGTTTTGACAAGCACGTAACTTATATTTTGGGGCTGCGCGAAATCAGGGGCGCGCGCGTCGGCGGCAATTCGCGGACGGGAAAGCGGCCAGTCTTCGACTTCACCTTTTTTCTGGATTGTGGTATCATAAATTGCTTCCGCTCTCGCCGAGAAACTTGGGCCGTCTTGTGAAGAACTTGAACTGGGCGCGGGGGGCCCTCCCTCCTCGGAGGTTCGAGGTTCGCTGCGGGCAGGGCACATGACCATATCCACGGCCTCGCGGTCGGAACTCCTCGGCCGCGACCCCAACCGCGCCAGGCAGTTTTGCACGGATGCCCCGAGCAGAGGGTATCCATGGGATTTCGGTTCGGTTTCCAGACAGCGAGGGCATGGATATGGACATTTCGTCGTCCGCGGCAAGGTTCGAGGATCGAGGTTTTTGACGCCATTCGCACTTTCGGGCCTCCTTGGGCGCCCCAGTCCTCACGGCTGGATCCGCCTCGAAATGTTGTTCAGAACGTCAGTTTGGGGGCCTAATTTTACATGGCAAACGAGGAGGAGGAAGAGGAGGAGAAGGAGGAGAAGGGGAAGGAGGATGAGAGTGGAGTGGAGTGGAGTGGAGTGGAGTGGAGTGGAGTGGAGTGGAGTGGAGTGGAGTGGAGTGGAGTGGAGTGGGGGGGTGGGGTGGGGGGGGGGGGGCGGGGGCGGGAGTGGAGTGGAGTGGAGTTGAGTGGAGTGGAGTGGAGTTGCCAGGAGCGAGCGGAGTGGCAAGGAGCACGCCTTGGCGGCAGGGCGATTCTGATTCCAGCTCCCTTTCTCCCAATCGGCGAGCCAGCCGTGGGCTGTGCCCGATTGCGGTTTTGGTGCAAGGCGTCAGGGAACGTGACCAGGAGAGTTTCCCAACCTTTCTTCCGCATCTTTGCCTGGACGAGGGACACTGTCCCCCTTCGCAACGCTTCACCCGTGGAGTCGTGGCGACCATCGTAAACGTTTGGGGTCGGTGGGGGCGCGACGTTCTTGAGGTCAGGGAGGGGCCTGCCGACGAAAAGGGGCTTCGTTCCCAGAGTGACAGTTCCTTGCAGCCCAGGCCGCCCAGATGGGGCTGGAGCGGATGGGGCCAGAGAGAGCCGCGCCCCATCGCCCGCGATGCTTCTGCGGCGCGGCGCAGTCGAAGTCGCCAGTCTATCGCCGAAGTCGCCAGTGTATCGCCGAGGCACCGGCGAGCCGGTGCGATTTTCTGAGATCTTAGCGATCTCCGTTTCACAGCCATCCTGTAGTGTTGGGTCTTCGTGTTGAACGGACAGCGCCCCGCGTTCCTCCTCTCCTCCCCCTCCCCCTCCTCCCTCCTTCCATCACCATCATGTATCATCATGATTCTCACCATCATCAGCATCAGCATCAGCGTCAGCATCAGCATCAGCGTCAGCATCAGCATCAGCATCACCATCAGCATCACCACCATCATCATCATCATCATCATCATCATCATCGTCATTGTCATAGTCATCAGCATCACTATCATCAGCGTCATCATCATCAGCATCATAATCATCATCATCATCATAATCATCATCATCATCGCCACCTTCATCATCACCATCATCATCATCATCATCCTCATCATCAGCAGCATCATCATCAGCGTCATCATCATCATCAGCATCAGCATCAGCATCATCATCACCATCATCATCATCATCAACATCACCATCATCATCATCATCAGCATCATCATCTTCATCATCACCACCACCATCATCATCACAATCGTCAACTACAGCGCTTCGTGGCCCCATTGGGAGCTCCACCGAAGGTCCCAGTGGCGCAGTTCGCATGTGCCTCCCCCACCAGTGCAGCATAATGTGGCCCCAGAGGGAGCTCCACTGAAGGTCCCAGTGGCGCAGTTCGCATGCGTCTCCCCCACACAGCATAGCGTTTCGTGGCCCCATTGGGAGCTCCACCGAAGGTCTCAGTGGCGCAGTTCGCATGTGGTTCCAACCCCATTTCGGCACACCCCTCAAACGTTTCGTGACCCCATAGGGAGCTCCACCGAAGGTCCCAGTGGCTGCGTTCGCATGTGGTTCCACTCCTATTTCGGCACACCCCTCGCAGGTTTTGCGGCCTCATCGGGAGTTCCACCGAAGGCCCCTGTGGTTGCGTTCGCATGCGGTTCCACCTGTATTTCGGCACACCCCTCACACGTTTTGCAGCCTCATAGGGAGCTCTACCGCAGGTCCTAGTGGCTGCGTTCGCATGTGGTTCCAACCCCATTTCGGCACACCCCTCACACGTTTCGTGACCCCATAGGGAGCTCCACCGAAGGCCCTAGTGGCGCAGTTCGCATGCGGTTCCACCTGTATTTCGGCACACCCCTCGCATGGTTTGCGGCCTCATAGGGAGCTCCACCAAAGGCCCAGTTGCTGCGTTCGCATGCGGTCCCACCCCCATTTCGGCATATCCCTCACAAGCTTCGTGGCCCCATACGGAGCTCCACCGAAGGTCCCAGCGGCTGCGTTCGCATGCGGCTAGGGAGCTCCCCCGAAGGAAATGGTCACAACTGTGGCATTCACAACTGCATATGGTTGGGTCCTTCGCCAGGAGAATGTTCGAGCCGGGCTTTTTTTACCCTACGTCGGGCCCCAGGGGTCCTCGCAGGTCGAGCCGGCTCGAAGAATGGCGCAGAGAGATTGGGTCCTTGGCTCTGGCCGTGATTGTTTACGTCGGGGGCTGATGAATGGCCATCGCCCCTACCCGCGTACCTTGTGCCAGACCAGCGTGTTTGCACGGGGGGGGGTGCAAACATCGTGCCCCCGTTGGGTGCCATTCTTGTACACAGCCCCCGCTCCGTGGTCTTCTGCAGGACTAGCTTGTTTGTAGGTGACCACACGACGGGCCGTTTTTTACCACAACTACCATAGGTAGGACGGGGGAGAAGGGAGGATGAGGAGGTCCTCCTCTTCCTTCTTTTTCTTTTCTTCCTCCTCCTTCTCCTCCTCTTCCTCATCCCTCTCCTACCTATGCTACCGATGGTAGTGGTGGTGGAAAATCGGCCCATCATGCAAAAGTCGTGCCCCCATTACGAGGTTGTCTTTTTTTCACTGCGTCGGATCTCGGGGCCCTCCCGTCCCCTCTGCTGCGGCCCCGCCTGGGCGGCTTCCACACAGAAGGAAGGGTGTGGTCGGAGCCCTGGTCTATGGGCCGATGTTCCACCACCACTACTGCAGCCGGCCACGCGCAGAGGGGGGTAGGGGGAGAGGGGAAGGCTTCTTAGAAGCACCCAGGTTCTTAGAAGGCGCGGGCCTTGTAAGGTTGGCGCCATCTGAGAAGCAGCCTCCCTCTAACAAGCTTTCCCTCCTCCCCTTCCCCCTTGTGCGCGCTGGCATGATTGGTAGGAGAGGGAGGACGAGGAGGAGGAGGAGGAGGAGGAGGAGGAGGAGGAGGACCTCCCCATCCTCCCTTCTCCCCCGTCCTACGTACGGTAGTGGTGGCGGAAAATTGGCCCCTCACTGGTCCTGGGACGCGAGCCAGGCAGGCCTGGGGTTGAGGTGTGCAAGTCGTTTGGGAGCGCTCACGGCTTGGGACGGCCGGCATGGGTACGGGAAGAATGGGTACAAAGACCGACAGATTTGCTTGCTCATGTTGAACAGGACTCGCCGTCGGTGTCGCCGCGGACATTAGGCATTTGAGACAGAACGCCGCCTGCCCGATAGCGACCGCGGTCGGTTTCGGATCACCTCTGCTGTTGGACCACCTTTGCTGTCGGGCGTCCAAATCGGAGCCTTCTGCAGCGCTCTAGGACGGCGCGGCGCCCCGTCGTGCTGTTTTTTTCACCTCGCCAGCATGTCTGAGGACGCCTCACTGGGGGGCACGTCGCCCCAGAGCGATGTCTGGGCCCGCCCAGCACAGGGCGGGGAAGAGGACCCTGCCCACCGTCCGCATCGTTTCACCGATCCCCATCCCCACCGGGCCATGGGATCTCAGCCCCGCCAGTCCACCCCTCAAGGCGGGGACAGGCCCCGCGAAACCCGAAGGGAACGGCATCGATCCCCACCTAAGGAGGTAGATCGATCAGTGGGGTCACGGCCATGCTAGCGGGAAGTAGGATAGTTACGTTAAACGATGTCTATTTTTTCTGGCCTCGCGGTCAATCTGCACAGCTAGTTGCTCTGGCCCCCCACCTCTTGGGACGGTCGACTGGTTGTTCAGCCCCCTCCAAACTGAGAGCCCCAATAGCTAGAAACAGCGTCAGCGCATAGACGTTATGACGAGTGTCGTGTTTTTGACATGGCCTGCCCTACGCCCTACGGCACAACTGCGCTATGCCCTGTGGCACAACTGCACTACGACACCCCGCGGCTGGCGGTCGCAGGAGGCCGAGGCCGCCGCGCTGGCCGCCGTGCGGGCCGTGGCGGCGAGCCAGGGCGGCGCGGTCGGCAAGAAGGCCCCTTCGCGGCCCAACGGCCGCCGGCGTCCTCCGGAGTGGGAGAGGCGTCGGGGGCAACGACGGGGGGGGGGGCCTGAGAGCCTGGCGTGTCGATGTTTCCGAGCTGGGCGTCGGGGGCCTATCGGCGATGCATCGCCGATGCAGGCTCGATGTTCCCCCCAATCGTTCGCCCTCACGGGGAGGCAAGGTGGGGGATGGCGTTACAGGGATGCCCGGGGGGGGGGCCCGTCACGCAGGAGTTCCTTGGGGGTGTGGTTGATGAGGTGAATTCCCGGCCTGCCCGTGGGCTTCGTCGTCGTCGTCGTTGTTGGTATTCTTTGCTCGTCCTCTCTGAAATCTTCCCCAGCGGCAGCAAGCTCATGTCTTACTCGCTCACCCCCCCTGTGTTTTCCCTCGTCGCTATACCTTTGAGCCCGCAGGGCGGGAGTCACGGCGGGCCCCCTATGGGGAAGCTTGCACACAGATTTTGCAATCAGTGGGTGCCAGGGATGTTGCCTCGAAGGGGGTCGGTGCCAATCGTTGCAATGTTTCTTGGGTCCATGTTGGCGTCACGTGGGGAGTCGGACTGCCTCTCGGGTGTCCATGGGGACGAAGTGCGTGAGGGGTGCCCCGAATTTAAGCTCACCTGAGGGGTCTGAGAGGTCATCTGAGAGCGTGAGGGGTGCGCCGAATTGAGCCCTTCGTGGCCTTCGGAGCGCAGATCACTTGTATTTCCACGTGTGCCAGTAGAGTGTGAAGCAGGAAGGACATGTGTGAGTGGTGTGCCGAATGGCAGTGTCGTAGCCATGAAGACGTTGCTCACTCGTATTCTTCCGCGTCCCAAAATAATGTCAGACAGGAAATGCGTGAGTGGTGCGCCGAAACGAGACTTTCGCAGCCCTGATAGCGCATCTCTCTCATGTTCTTATGTGTGCCAGGAGCTGTCATGCGCGTGGGCCTAGCGCTGGGAGCACGTTTCATTTGTATTTTGACGTGTCGCCTGGAAAATCTGGAGAATTGATGAAATCGGCCGGCGGAATGCGCGAGGCCGCTTATAGTGTGCCTTTACGTGTGCTTCTCACCATCCTCCATGTCACCTTCATCTCATGATCCTCTTTCGAAGCTTAACACGGCGAGGTCCCGCAGGGGGAGCGCCGAATTGAGCCCGCAGAGCGGGAGTCACGGCGAGCCCCCAGGGGGGGGGGGGGGGGAAACTCGCACGCGAATCTCGCAATCAGTGGGTGCTCGGATTACGGCCTCGACGAGGGTCGGTACCAATCGTTACAATGTTTCTTGGGACCTTTTTGTGCCCCTTGGGGGGTTGGGCGGTCTTGGGGGTCAGCTAAGGGCATTTTGGCGTCCATGGGGCACGAAGTGCGTGACGCCTGTGCCGAATTGAGGCTCCAAAGAGCCGTCTCGGGGGCTGCGCGCCCAACATGCACGCAGTGCGTGAGGGGTGTGCCGAATTGAGGTTCCCATCATAATGGAAGGACCAGTCGCTTGCATCTTTACGTCTCCCAGTAGCCTGGAGGGCCCGAGTCACTTGAATTTCTACGTATCCCAGGAGCCCCAGAGCGCAGATCAGTTCTTCGCCAGGATAAGACTGGGGCAGGAAATGTGTGAGGGGTTTATTTGTTCGAGGGTATGCGCACGGAGCCTGGCATGATGCAGCATCAATGGGCCAGCGGAGTGCGCGGAGCCGCCCTTAGCATGCCTTGATGCATGCTTTTCACCTTCCTCAATGTCATCATCATCATTATCATCATCATCATCATCATCATCATCATCATCATCATCATCATCATCAGCATCAGCATCAGCATCAGCATCAGCATCAGCATCAGCATCATCATCAACATCAACATCATCATCATCATCATCATCATCATCATCATCATCATCATCATCATCATCATCATCATCATCATCTTAATCATCAACATCAGCAGCATCATCATCATCATCATCATCATCAGCATCAGCATCAGCATCAGCATCAGCATCAGCATCATCATCACCATCATCAACATCACCATCATCATCAACATCAGCAGCAGCAGCATCATCAGCATCATCTCAGCATCTTATCTTCTCTCGACGCCTGACAGGGTGAGGGCCCGCAGGAGGGCCGCCGAATTTAATCACTTCGGTCCATCCCACCACTGTGACTGGGAGGTGGGGCTGAGGCCTCTTGGATGTTCGTCGGAATCTCGTCGAGGCCACTCGGGGGCCTCGTGGGGTCCTCTTTGGGCGTTGCGGGGACCTCTTGTGGCCTCGTGGGGGCCTCCAGGGGCTTCCTGGGTACCTCTTGGACCGGAAGACTCAGATTTTCGGTTCTTGTTCCCCCTCTTCGGCACCTCTTGGGGCCGTCTCGTTTTGGGACTTTCTTGGGTGCCGTCTTGAGGCGGTCTGGGGGGCTTCTTGGAACGTCTTGGAGCGTCGGGAAGCTCGAAGAGAGGATAACCCCAAAAACATTGACAACAACCATTGCAAGTCAATTGTGTTTGCCTCTCGGGGGCCATCTTGGGGAGGCTCTGAGAGACCTCTTGGGACGTCTTGGGTGCTCTTTCGGGCGGCTGGAGGCCATCTTGGGCGCCTTGGACCGATCACGGCCCTCCTAGACCCTCTTGGGGGGTTCTTGGGGACCCGTCAAGACCGCCCCAGGAGGTCTGGCATCCTTGGGGGGACCTTGCCTGGAGTTTGCCAGGGTATTTTTCGTCCAGGGACCCCAGGGGTGGCCCTGCGCGCGCGCGAACTGGAAGTAGAATGGCCTTCGGCCCATCCCGCCACCATGCCGGGGTTCCGGGTCAGAGTTCTCACAGAAATGCGTCTTCGGGTCTCTTCGGAGCGCTCTCGGGAGCCTCTCGGGAGCAGTAGGGGCCTATTGTGAGCCTCTTGGGGGCCTTTTGGGGGCCACTAGGGGCCTCGTGGGTGCCCCTTGGGGCCTCTTGGGGGCCTCTTGGGGCCTCCTGAGGGCTCCTCGGGTCCGAGGGCTCGAAATATCCGTTCGGGTTCCCCATCTAGTCCCCCTCTTGGGGCCGTCTTTGGGCCATCTTGGGCCGTCTTGGGCACCTCTTGGGCCGTCTCGGGGCCCTCTTGGGTGAGGCCGTCTTGGGATGCTCTTTGAGCCCTCGTGGGCCGTCTTGGAGCGTCAGGAAGCCGCCCAAATCTTTCAAAAACCTAAGGAAGATCACAGATGTCTGCTTCTGAGGGCCCTCTTAGGAAGCCTCTTGGAGCGTTTGTGAGGCTTCCGGGGCCGTCTTGAGGCCATCTTGGGCGACTTGGAGCGATCGTTCGGCGATTCGAGGTCCTCTTGGACCGCCTTCGGGGCCTCTTGGGGCCCTCTTGGCCCGTCTTGGGGCGTTTTGGGGCCCGAGCAATAATGCGGGAAGCCGCGACGGTGCCCAGGGGAACCGCGCCAAGCCTTGGGAGATGAGAGAATTTGGAATCCGGGCCCCTGAAGAACCCTTAGGATCGAGGATTGAGGTTCAGAGGGTTAGACAAAGGATCTGAGGACACGCCCACTCCGTGCCCAGAAGCATGGTGGCGGATTCTACACCTGTTGCCCGAGATCTTACTACGCCTCTGGCCCGCTGGGCCGGCGAAGTATCCAACTGTTTGCGGCACGCCCCGCCACCGTGCATGTGCAACAGCGCAGCAGGAAGGAGGCTTAGTGTATGAACAGCACAATTCTTAAGAGTGGTCTGAATCGGGACGTGTCGTGAACCCGACCTCGTCTTCGTCCGCGCGGTGGGACGGAGGTCGAGTTCACGCCCCGTTGCAGTTCAGCGAGTGGTCTTAATTGGGAAGGATCGTGATCTCGACTTCGTCGTCGTCTGCGCGATCGGGAGGAGGAGGAGGAGGAAGAAGAAGAAGACGAAACATAATAATACCAAGAGGAATAATAAGATACTTAGTATTAACTACTTAACCATAAGAAGAAAACGACTCATAATAACCATAATAATAATAATGAAACTAATGATAAGGAAAAGAGGATGAGAAGGAGGAGGAGAGGAAGACATTGAGGACGAGGAGGAGACGCCTTCTTGGAGCCCTCTCGGGGCCCTCCTGGGGCATCCTGAGAGCCTCCTGAGGGCCTCTGGGGGGCCTCCTGGATCCTCTTGTGGCCCGTCTGACGCATTCGGAGGGGGGCATCTCTGGGCCGTCTTGGTGCCCTCTTGGGGCGCTTCAGCGCCGTCTAGGGTCCCTCTTGGGAGCCCCTTTGGCGATCTTTGAGTCCTCTTGAGCCGACTGTGGGTCGTCTTGGAGCCTCCTGGCCTGTCTTCGAACTATATTGGTGGACTCTTGCAGGCCTCTTGGGCCGCCTTGGGCGGTCGTAAATCCCAACAGGCGAGAACCTCAAAATCCATCGAAAGGCTCAGGAACATCGTTCGTTGTGTCCTCCTCGGACTCTCCTGGAGAGCCTCTTGGAGCCCTCTTGGGCCATCTTGAAGCCCTCTTGGGCCGTCTTGAGGGCCTCTTTGGCGTCTTGAGGGCTGCCTTGGGCGGTCGGACGCCCAAACAGGCCAAAAACGCAACATCTACCACACGCCTGACGACACATTGTCGTGTTGCGCCTCCTACGGGCCTCTTGGGGGCCTCCCTGGAGCTTCCTGGGGCAGACGTGGAGGCCTCGTGGGGCCTCTTCGGTCATCTTAGGGAGCTCTCGGCCCGTCTGGCGTCTCGGGAGCCTCTCTGGGCAGTCTTGGTGCACTCTTGGATCGCTTCGGGGCCATGGTGGGGCCATATTGGATGTCTCTCGGGCGATCTTGGGGTCCTCCTGGGCCGACTGGAGGCCTTTTTGAGAGCCTCATGGGTTGTCGGGTGGTTATCTTGGAGGCCTCTTGGCCCATCTTGGGCGGTCGGAAACCGAAACAGGCGACAACCTCAAAACCGGTCAAACACCTAGGCAACACCACCATTTGTTTTGATCGAAGACGCCGACGGCGAATCACCGCCGCCCCCTGCCTTTTTGGAATCGCCTGTGTGGCCGAACGTTGAGGCCCGACCTGCCA